CTTGTTAACAATCGTTTAGAGGTAAAGTGTATAATCAGTGCGTGTGTATGTGTTAGAATGCATGCGGCCTTCCATAGTGAATATGCCTAGTAAACGCTGGCAATCTTCGCGTAATTTGCCCAGAATTGCTGCGAAAGAGCGATTTTCCGATATATTTTTTTTCCGCGAGCCCACTTGATAAAAATGTTGCGTGAGCTTCATGGAAAACATTTGTTTGCCGAGACGTATGCGCGGAAGTAAATATTGTGCGTGCTTCACACACATTCTTCTCAGCTTGTCGTATTTTAGTAGGTCCTATATTATTATACGAGCCTATACAGACGCGTGCGCGACACAGCAGGGAGTCCAATCTCCTCACACAATGTTGTGGTCAACGCTGGCAACGCTAAAGACACCTCGCACCATCTACCAGAAGCAAAAGTTGATCACGGCAGAGATTATTTTTTATCTGCTTCCCGCTGCATGCGTGCACGATTTACTGTCAGCTACAGGTAGGCAGTGCTACCACAACGCGGCAGTTAGTTTTATCGTAAAAAAAAAAAAAAAAAAAAAAAAAAAAAAAAAAAAAAAAAAAAAAAAAAAAAAAAAAAAAAAAAAAAAAAAAAAAAAAAAAAAAAAAAAAAAAAAAAAAAAAAAAAAAAAAAAAAAAAAAAAAAAAAAAAAAAAAAAAAAAAAAAAAAAAAAAAAAAAAAAAAAAAAAAAAAAAAAAAAAAAAAAAAAAAAAAAAAAAAAAAAAAAAAAAAAAAAAAAAAAAAAAAAAAAAAAAAAAAAAAAAAAAAAAAAAAAAAAAAAAAAAAAAAAAAAAAAAAAAAAAAAAAAAAAAAAAAAAAAAAAAAAAAAAAAAAAAAAAAAAAAAAAAAAAAAAAAAAAAAAAAAAAAAAAAAAAAAAAAAAAAAAAAAAAAAAAAAAAAAAAAAAAAAAAAAAACATAAAAAAAAAAAAAAAAAAAAAAAAAAAAAAAAAAAAATAAAAAAAAAAAAAAAAAAAAAAAAAAAAAAAAAAAAAAAAAAAAAAAAAAAAAAAAAAAAAAAAAAAAAAAAAAAAAAAAAAAAAAAAAAAAAAAAAAAAAAAAAAAAAAAAAAAAAAAAAAAAAGAAAAAAAAAAAAAAAAAAAAAAAAAAAAAAAAAAAAAAAGAAAAAAAAAAAAAAAAAAAAAAAAAAAAAAAAAAAAAAAAAAAAAAAAAAAAAAAAAAAAAAAAAAAAAAAAAAAAAAAAAAAAAAAAAAAAAAAAAAAAAAAAAAAAAAAAAAAAAAAAAAAAAAAAAAAAAAAAAAAAAAAAAAAAAAAAAAGAAAAAAAAAAAAAAAAAAAAAAAAAAAAAAAAAAAAAAAAAAAAAAAAAAAAAAAAAAAAAAAAAAAAAAAAAAAAAAAAAAAAAAAAAAAAAAAAAAAAAAAAAAAAAAAAAAAAAAAAAAAAAAAAAAAAAAAAAAAAAAAAAAAAAAAAAAAAAAAAGAAAAAAAAAAAAAAAAAAAAAAAAAAAAAAAAAAAAAAAAAAAAAAAAAAAAAAAAAAAAAAAAAAAAAATAAAAAAAAAAAAAAAAAAAAAAAAAAAAAAAAAAAAAAAAAAAAAAAAAAAAAAAAAAAAAAAAAAAAAAAAAAAAAGAAAAAAAAAAAAAAAAAAAAAAAAAAAAAAAAAAAAAAAAAAAAAAAAAAAAAAAAAAAAAAAAAAAAAAAAAAAAAAAAAAAAAAAAAAAAAAAAAAAAAAAAAAAAAAAATAAAAAAAGAAAAAAAAAAAAAAAAAAAAAAAAAAAAAAAAAAAAAAAAAAAAAAAAAAAAAAAAAAAAAAAAAAAAAAAAAAAAAAAAAAAAAAAAAAAAAAAAAAAAAAAAAAAAAAAAGAAAAAAAAAAAATTTATCTGCGACGCCAGAAACGGAGTTTCAACTATCATAGCAACGACATACGTAACGAAATAAACAGGCCAAAATGGGGAGCCAAAATAGCGAAACCACACACGAGCATTTCGCGGATAGCAAAATGGAAAAACAGTGCAATATCAACGACACGCCATTTTAACAACGGCTACACTACCAATGGGAACAACACTGTGAAATATAAAGCAATGATGACAACACTGAAGATATAAACTAATAATAAAGTAACATAAAAATAAAAATTTAAACCAAGAGGCCGTAATTAGTAAAACAATTAAACGACAAGGAAGACTGAATTAAACAACAATGAAATAAGCAATTAGACGTTAACGACGTGAAAGGATACACTAATGATAATCCTGATATAAAATAGTTTCTGTTGATAACTAACATATAACCTAATATACTATCTGATGCATAAAAGTTTCATAAACACATACACACACATAGACCAATGCAAGACATAGACACAGTAGCACATTGCACATTGCACATAGCAACATGCAATAGACATTGCAGATAGATCGCAACGCGTCGAGCGATATATCTGGTAGGCAAGAACTGCTATTAGCATTGGCCGTCTCTACTCATTATTACAAAGAAGATGTCGTTTCATAACGTCAACTATATAATACTAGCTACTATATAACTTGGTTGCTGGTGGTGAAAATGTGGCGAATGGACTGATTGTATTACTTATTGAGAAATGTATTGCTTGCTGGGCCACTGCAGCGTGTGATGAACTAATGAGATTTCAACTAAACCACTCCCTCCCTCAACACATCCCACGTACACACGGCGCGCACACACACCAACTAACACACCACACACAACACACACACACACACACACACACACACACACAAACCTCACAGCACGTACACACGCACACACGCACACACACACACACACACACACACGCACACACACACACACGATCCAAATCCGACGAATCACTCGTTGTTCTCTCTCGGGCACGGCGACTACAGACGGATACCGTCCCTTCTCGAACACGAATAGCGCTGCGTCTGCTAACCTCGTTATGTGTATCGAAAACACGGTCACGCGTGTTTCTGTCTCTATCCTCTCCTGTCCGCCGAAGATCTGTCGCAAGGTTTAAGCGGGAAACCGCGAGAACAGCTATTGACATGTCAGCTACAGAAGCTCAGCCACTGCTCAGCTAATCTCGAGGCGTGGTACTAGTATAGTATAGTATAGTGTAGTATAGTAATACAGTAATTAGTATAGTATAGTATAGTATAGTATAGTATAGTATGTATAGTAATGTATAGGTTAGTAAGTATAAGTATAGTATAGTATAGTATAGTATAGTATCAGTAATAGTAAGTATGTATAGTATAGTAATAGTATAGTATAGTAATAAGTATGTATAGTATAGTATAGTATAGTATAGTATAGTATAGTATAGTATAGTAATAGTATAGTATTACGTATAGTATAGTATAGTATAGTATTAGTAAATAGTAATAGTATAGTAATAAGTATATAATAGTATAGTAATATATGTAATAGTATAGTATTAGTATGTAATAGTATAACGTATAGTATAGTATAGTATACGTATAGTAATATGTATAGTATAGTAAATAGTATAGTATAGTATAAGTATAGTATAGTATAGTATAGTATAGGTATAGTATAGTATAAGTATAGTATAAGTATAGTATGTAAGTAATAGTATAGATAGTATGTATAAGTAATCCAGGCCCGTAGCCAGGAGGTTCGGGGGTCATTCCGAACGAAGCCCCCCGCCCGAGCCAGTCCCCCCCCACCCACCGAAGGCAAACAACAAAAAAATATGAAATTTTGGCAAGAAATTTCACCTCAGGTCGCTCCATTTTAGTGTAATAATTGCAAAATTCTCATCGTGCGGAGGGTGAACAGTGAACACCCCCTCCACACCCTCCCTCGCCGCTCGATCGCTTGGCTCCCTCGCCTGTCGCTTCGCCGCACAGAGGCAGGGGCGTGTTTTGGGGGTCGCAGGAGTGCCCGACCCCCCCTTGGCTCGCGGCATAGAAAACGCAATCTGAGGGGGTCTAATTTTAAAAAATTTCTGGGGAGGGCCCCCCCAGACGCCCCCCTTCGCGTGCTCGCCCAACCGTTGGGTTACGGTTAGACCCCCCCTGGTACAAATCTCTTTGTACACCCACTGCCGAGGCAAATTGCCAACATTGAAAAAACCGAACGCCCCCAATAGAAAGCTGCTACGGCCTGTAGTATAGTATAGTATAGTATATAAATAGTATAGTATGTATAGTATAGTATAGTATAGGTATAGTATAGTATAGTATAGTATCGTATCGTATAGTATAGTATAGTATAATCACGCGTGCACTGCTCGTCTGCTCTGCAGATTAGCTGGCGTGACGTGGCGTCGGGTTTAAATGCCGACATCGCAATATCGTGATGCCGTTCTATCGTCACGTTGCCAGACGAATTCTCTGCATCGTTTTGGTCCACCGTTCATCATATATTATGTCGCTCTACCTAATATACTATCTCTCGTTTCAAGCTCACTCGCGTGGATCGAATTGTGCTAAGATTTTGCGTGCGAATAGAGTGAATAAACGGCTAGAAAAGTGGTATGTGGTCGGGAAAGGATTCTGATGTGTATCATTGCGTGCACACGCTCTTTGTTTGAATGATAACAAGCTAAATCGTTATTAATTTCGTATTTTCTCATATAGTTATTTGGAAATAGTATTTGGAAATTCCTTGCGACAGTCGGCGTGGAAACTTATTTTCTTCCTTTATTTTTGCGGAGAGGCTGCTCTTCAGACGCCTTACGCTGCCTGCAGCTTGCCGTATTCTTACAAAGCCCTCAGTGCAACACGCAATATACGTAAGAGGCGTTTGCCGGCTACACGTCTGGAGACAGCCTTGCGTGGTTATTAAGGCACCGAGATCCGGCGGGGGGTAGTCGGCGTGTCTCTTAGCATCATCATCAGCTTCAGCATCATCATCAGCTTTAGCATCATCAGGTTCAGCATCATCATCAGCATCATCATCAGCTTCAGCATCATTATCAGCATCATCATCAGCTTCAGCATCATTAATTTATTCCGACACTAATCATGGCTAATACGTATGCTCTACGCAACGGCATGCGGTCAGACGAGCGCCATAGAGGCGGGAATATGTCTGGACCAGGGGGCGCTGCCGTCGCTCAGCGAACAAGTCATCGTGGACTGCTGTGGAGGCTACTACACGCACGGCTGCAGCGGCGGCTCTGTCATACAGGCTTTTGACTGCGTCTATGATCTAGTCTCTATGCCGTACGACAGCAACTACGCATACACGGTAAGATACTGGCGCCAACCTAGAGCTTCATCAACCAATGAAATGAATATTGCGCGCACGCTGTTAAAGACATTGTAATAAATTATTACGATTGCCATTAGTTTAGTCATTAATCAGAGTCATTAGTCATTAGTCTCGCACGAAGCTTCTCCGGGCAAAGGTTAAGACATTGTATGCATCTAATATTCCCAATTTCTTATGACTCCTCTGTTGCTGCGTAGCGTTGGCCATCGTACTTAGAAATAATTATTTTAACCGCGGTAGAAATAATTTAATCGCGGTTACATTAAAGCTCTTTTTACCCAATCAGAGGCCTTGTTAGATATAATTTAACAGCGGATAAATTGTTTTTACTCGAACGTAAATTTCTTCAACTCAACTCGTTATATTATCTTTAAATTTACTGCGTAAATCTAAATTCAACACATGTTTAGAGGACCCTGGCGCAACTCCTGCGTGTAATAACAATTCTCATCAGTAAACAGCGCCACCTAGCACACTGCACTCTTCCTAGCGCTCCCTGGTGGAGTTGTTCCTCATCATCTTTGATCTATTTATAAACTGCTCGCGTAATGTAGTTTATGCTGATAGGTGTGTGGTCGACAGATAGATGGGACGTGATCATAAATAATAATAATACGATCGTTGTCGCGTGTTTCGAACAGAGTTCTTCAACTAATATATTAGTTTAACTGTTCATTCACTATCTATTTATATGCAGTGCAAATTAGTTTCTCATAATTATGTGTGCACGTGTGCATCGTCGTGGTGTCGCCGTATCGAGAACAGAGGTGCGACTACAGTGGTAGGCCTATGTCCATTATACAAGACCATGGACCAAGTCCATTAATGATGGATGAACACCGGTTGTTTCCATTGCTGTCACATTCCGACACACATAGTCACGCAGAGCGATCGTTCCTTAGGAAACTTTGGTTTGGTAATTAACAGCGACAATCGACAGAAGTTCCCCGTTACAGACGTTCATATTAGTCATGTGTTTTCCATAAGCTATCACGTTGTAACAGCTTGCGTGTTACGCGATGATTCACCGCCACTATGGGCATACGTCGACTGAAATGCATGTTCTACTCGTGTTTCTTGGCATGTCTCTTGTTTCTTGGCATGTCTCTTGTTTCTTGTCATGTCTCTTGTTTCTTGGCATATCTTTTGTTTCTTGTCATGTCTCTTGTTTCTTGGTTGCGTGCGTGCGTGCGTGCATACGTACGTATGTGCGTGCGTGCGTCTGTCCGCTCATCGCCTCGTCTATTCATTATATTTCATCGATTATCATTCATTGATGCGCTGCCACCGAGCGGTAGGCCCAGGCGGCGTGGGCACGACGTGTATAAAGTATCGTAATCATGAGCTGCAAATTTGCTCGATAGTGTATGATATAATAGTGGTGACAGCTGATGGTGAATCATGCACCCATCGACAGCGTCAATTAATCATTTACAAGAAAAACAACTCTAGCTATATAAGAAACAAATTTCCACGGTGGGAATTTTCATCGTTGTAATGATGTAGAAAAATAACATTTCTTCAAAATGGTAGCTACATAAGTCGCGATTTTGGACTGGAACTCTCGTAAAAGTAAAAAGATCTTTCAAAAATGCGATTTCATCGTTTATTTTAGATATTATTTTCTGGTTATGGGAAAAGCCGTTTAGCTGCACTTCTCATCGCAGTCGTCTCGTTGCACGATTTCCGCTGTTGTCCCGTTACCGAGTGCCGCGCGTGACTCTATTCATCCCAAACACAAGCACGATTACTCATTGATTTCATTGACTCGAGAAAAATTCTCCACAGCGATAGATTGGATGATCACCTTAACTAAAATTTTCTTCAAAACCTACGTTATTTACAAAATGCACAAACGTCATTTGTAATAGCCTTCATCTTCGCAAACAATCCGACATTCGCCAGAGACTCAAACTAAACTAAAATAAATAAAATAAATAAAAATCCGTAACAGATGCAGCGTATACGAAAACTGACGTCATTGAGGTAATCCACCGGAATTCCCTCAATGACCAATCAAATGACTTGTAGCATTTTCGTATAACTACAGATAATAAACGTTACGATGCCGTTAACGCGACGGGTCGTTGTATGCATAATACATATATCGGACGCTCGCCGCGTGTGTATATACATAGACGTCCGCACGCGGCTGTCACAGCATTACATCTCCATCTCTCTTCCTCTCTCACGCGATGAAGCCTTGTGTTGTTGTCGTGCTAGCACTGGCCTGCTGGCACGCCAGCATGCTCCCCGTGAGATCGGCAGACGTTGAAATACCGCAGGAAAAGCTGCCAGCGTCTGCAAGCCGCAAGGGACCGCAGCGAGCTGCAGAGAAGATGGAAAAATCTCCGCGGAAGGATGAGCGCAGCGGGAAGCAGAAGGAGCGAGATGACGAGCTGATGGTGGAAGCCATACTGAGTAGCGTCGAGAAAGGCAAGGGCAAGAAGATCGGTCAGCAGCAGCAGCGTGGGCGACCGAGCAGGGAGCCACAGGCGGTCGATTCTTTCGACGAGTTCAAGAGTAAACGAGGTAAGAGCTGGCTGATACATCGCTCTAGAACCTGCTACCGTCGAGTCGGTATAATATGAGAGTGAATGTAGAGCTGTCTGATCCGCAGCGTATACACTCGAGCTACTTATCTGCTTGCGTGTATTAGGGTCCGTTTTCAAATACACCATGTCACTATCCTGAGTCTAAAATGTGATAATAGTTAAATTCAAATGTCGTTAAAAAGCCGTGTCAGAGTGTAGACTGATGGTCGCGACTATTTTTGATGTTCCTGTCAACGGGTGTCCAGTTATATTATACTCTATCCAGTAGTTAGAAACATGATGTGACTGTCATGAGTCTAACATGCCATAATATGTTAAATTAGGTGTCGCGGAAAAGTGATGACATTTTAGAAAAATTATCGTTATATGCCTATTCGTTATATGTTTCTGACAACGGGTCTCTGCTTTCAACAAATTACTACATTGTAGATAGATATAAGTAGATATATGAACCTATATATATTAGTATAAGATATAGTTATAAGATAGATATAAAATTAGATAGATTAAGAATAAGGATAGTTATAGATGAGATAGAGTAGATAAGATATGAATACGATAGGATAGAATAAGATGGATTAAATAGAGTAGATTAGTGGATTAGAAGATATGATAGACATTAAGACTAGAGGGAATGGAATAGATGTATAGATTAGGTAGATAGGTAGCTAGTAAGATAATAGATAGATAAATAGATATAGAATAGATAGATCAGATAGATAGATAGATAGATAGATAGATAGATAGATAGATAGATATAATAGATAGATAGATAGTAGATAGATAGATAGATTAGAATGATAAATAGATAATAGAAGAAGAGAGATCATTATCATAGATCATGATATTGAAAAAAACATGAAGTTAACCTTTTCTCAGGCCTGAATAAGCCATCGAACAGAAATTAATTGAAAATACTACTCTGACATAAATTTAATATCCGACACTAAATCATGGCTAATACGTATGCTCTACGCAACGGCATGCGGTCAGGACGAGCGCATAGAGCGGGAATATGTCTGGACCAGGGGGCGCGCCTCGCTCAGGCGAACACAGTCATCGTGGCTGCTGGTGGACGGGCTACTACCACGCACGGCTGCAGGCGGCGGCTCTGTCATACAGGCTTTCGACTGCGTACTATGATCTAGTCCTCTATGCCGTACGAACAGCAACATACGCATACACGGTAAGATACGCGGCCAACCTAGGCGCTTTCATCAACGCAATGAAACTGAAAATTGACGCGCACCTGCTGTTAAAGACATTGATAATGAATTATTACGATTGCCATTAGTTTAGTCATTAATGCAGAGCTCATTAAGCATTAGTCTGTCGCCAACTGAAGCTTCTGCCGGGCAAAGGTTAAGAACATTGTATGATCTAATATTCTCCAACTTTCCTTGATGCTCCTCTGTTGCTGGCTAGGCGTGGCCATCGTACTTAGCAAATAATTATTTTTACCGCGCGTAAGAATATATTTTTAATCGGCGATTACATTAAAGCTCTTTTTACCCAATGTCAGAGCGCCTTGTTAGATATATATTTAACAAGTCGATTAAATTGTTTTTACTTCGAAACCGTAAATTTCTTTCAACTCATCCTCGTTAATATTATCTTAAATACTGCGTAAATCTAAATTCAACACATGTTTAGAGGACGCTGCGCAACTCCTGCGTGTAATAACAATTCCTCATCAGTAAAACAGCGCCACCTAGGCACACTGCACTCTTCCTAGCGGCTCCTGGTGGAAGTTGTTTCCTACATCACTTCTTTGATCTATTTATAAACTGCTCGCGTATGTAGTTTATGCTGATAGGTGGTCGTGGTCGACAGATAGATGGGACGTGGATCATTAAATAATAATAATGACAATTCGTTGTTGCGTGTTTTCGAACAGGTTCTTCAACTAATATATTAGTTTAACTGTTTCATTTCACTATTACTATTTATTATGCAGTGCCAAAATTAGTTTCTAATAATTATGTGGTGCCGTGTGCTATCGTTCGTGGTGTCGCCCGTATCGAGAAACAGAGGTTGCGACTACAGTGTTAGGCCCATGTCCCATTATACAAGCACTATGGACCAAGTCCTTAATTGCATGGGGTATGAACACCGGTTGTTTGCCATTGCTGATCACATTCCGACACACATAGTCACGCAGAGCCGATCGTTCCGTTAGGAACTTTGGTTTTGGTAATTAACAGCAGACAATCGACAGAAGTTCCCAGTTACAGACGTTCATTTAGTCATGTGTTTTCGCATAAGCAAGTATCACGGTTGCTAACATGCTTGCGTGTTACGCGATGATTCACCGCCACTATGGGCCATACGTTCGACTGAAATGCATGTTTCTACCTCGTGTTT